TATTCTCTTTTTAAATAAAATCACTATTCAAGTCTCCTGTCCATTTTTTAAACTTATTTGTGGAAGTTGTTTTTATATTCTAAATATGAACTTTTTGTTGGTTATGTGTGTTGTAAATATTTTCTCCCAGTTTGCCTTTTCTCTTACTCTTTTTACTAGTGTGTTTTGAACTCAAGTCTTTATATGTTGTCAAATTTATTAGTTTTTTTCTTTTATGATTAATGTGTTTGTGTCCCAATTAAGGAGTCCCTGAGTGGTGCAGATGTTTAAAGTGCTCGACTGCTAACTGAAAGGTTGGAGGTTTGAGTCTACCCAGAGGTGTCTCAGAAGAAAGGCCTGGTGATCTATGTCTGAATAATCAGCCATTGAAACCCCTATAGAGCACAGTTCTACTCTGATGCACATGGGGTCACCATGAATTGGTATTGACTGGACAGTAACAGGCTGGTGCCAATTAAATCTTTGTTTATCTCCAGGTTATGAAGATACTCATCTATTTTGTCTTAGAAGCTTTATGTTTTGTCTTTCATATTTTGATCTACAATTCACATGGGATTATTTTTTTTCTGAATGGTGTGAGGCAGATTCATGTTTAAAATTTCCATATGCATAGTCAATGGATATAGAAATATTTCTTGAAAAAAGAAACCAAACCAATCTTTTGTCAATGCTGTGCAGTTTCATCTTTATCATAAATGCCTATACCATAAATCAATCAATCAATGTGTTGGATTTTAGTGTATCCTGGTACAAGCACATCTGCAGAAGCCAAGTGGGCAAGGCCTCGAGGAACTTGGTACATATGTTGGGTGTATCATCAGGGAAGCAATGGAAGTACAAACAATAGTACTTGTATTTGCAGTTTATGCAATGGAATCTCCTGCCGTGGAATATACCGTTGGTTCTCTGAAAGTTGAGGCTGTACGACTCTGGGAGATGAAGGCTCTGGGAGATGAACTCTCCTACCAGCTTGGCTGAAAAATAATCCCTGTCAACTGCTTGAAAATTAACCAGAGTATTAACTGGTGGTTCACTGGGACGCCATCACCACCACTGTGGGCCCATGGAAGTGAAAAGAGAGAGCCTTGGGCCTCAGGACATAGGTGCAAATCTCTTCTGATGACCCAAGTAGGAGGCTTAATGCTCTGATCTGGACCAGGAGTTTAGGGCTTGGGAAAGGAAATGGAGAGACAAAGGAGTGACACTAGCTGCAAAGTGTGTGTGGAGAATGACTATCAACCTTCCACAAAGGCCTGGCACAGGGTTAGACTCAATAATTACACTGATTATTTGGGGGAGAGCCTCAGAATTTCTTCTACTCCTTTTCTGTGGCTTTCACATATAATTTTTTTTTACAGCTTTATTGAGACATAATTGACATATAACAAACTGCACATACTTGAAGTATACAATTTGATGAGTTTTGAAATATGTACGCACCCATGAAATCAAGATAATGAAAATTTCCACCACTCCTGTAGTTTTTTACCGCCCTGTTGTAATTCATTTCTCCTCACTACCCCCCAAAACCCGTTGCTGTTGAGTAGATTCTGACTCATAGCAACCCTATAGGAAGGAGCAGAACCGCCCCATAGTGTTGCCAAGCAGCGGCTGGTGGATTGGCACTGCTGATCTTTTGTTAGCAGCCAATCTCTTAACCACTGTGCCACCAGGGCTCCTCACTACCCTCACCACCCTCAAACCCTGCTCCTCCGCCCCCTTCTGCAGGCAACCACTGGTGTGATTTCTGTCACTGTAGATTAGCTTGCATCTTCTAGACTTTTATGTATGTGGAATTATACAGTATGTACCTTTTTACTGGGGGGAGGGAGTTCTGGTTTCTTTCATTCAGCACAATATGGTTAAGTATAGGGAAGTCCCTGAAGGGAGCCTGTAAGGCAGAGCTTTATATGTAGGTGAACAAACGACTGCAAGTTTCACGATACGTACTTAGAATTTTACAAACGAATTGGAATAGGTGACCAGAAATTTAAGAAACTCTCAAAACCTCATACCAAAACTTCTGTTCTAAAATTGAAATAGGATTCTAATAAACTGCCTAGAATGTTTGCAGCCTAGATAACTGGGCTTTGAAAAGCTCCTTGAGAAAGGTTTGGGCAAGTATGCTTCTGTATCCAGGAGAGGTTCATAGGAAGCTTTCCACAATTAGTGGGGTCAGTCATGATTGTGGGGGTCTCTGAGGAAGCATGACATATAGGACAGAATGCTGGCAGGTGAAGGTCACCTTATTATTGAAAGACATGAGATGGGAGGATGTAGCTTATAGTGAAAGTCAAAAGGGCCAAAATTAGAAAACTAGGCAGTCTCACCCACAGGCATAGAGAAGCAGAAAATTCCTGCTTCCTACAGGTAGCTCATTTTCAAGAGACAAGAAGTGAGGGCTGAGCCAAGTAGGCCAAATTTATTCTTTCCAAATTTACTAGTCAGATAAGGCACACAGCTTGCCTGGAATGGAGACAGTGATGGAGTGAAAAAAAAAAAAAAAAAGCAAGGGTATTATACTAACTAGACTCTCTTCAAATGGAAGGAAAAATCAAGAGAAGGAAAGAAGTATTTTCACCAAACAATGCTTAATCTTTCTGCTTTTAGATGTTCACTTATAAGATCAAAAATTCTACCACCTGCCTAAGTTTTCATCTTTTGTCACAGGATCAATACATTTCCAGGATAATTGAGGGTGTGAACATCTATTTATAATGGAAAGCCCACTCCCACCCATTGGGATGTGGTCTGGTCCTATGGCCCAATAAAATTATAACAAAATGTCTAACGCTGGTACATTTCTTAGAGTCTGCCTTATTGGGATTTCTATATGGTCATCTTGCTGCAAAGAAATACTATTGTCAGTTTTGAAAATGAAGAATCTGAAGTTCTTTAATATTAAATAATTTCTCTGAATTGGAAATGACCTTAAATATCATCTAGTTCAACTCCTGCCCAATGTATGAACTATCTTTATAAAATCATTCTCTAGTGATGGTGGACTTCACCTTTCGATAACTCTGACTTTTGAGTTTCCTCCTTATACTCTTCCAGGAACTATCTTCCTAGTTCTTACATATATTGGGTGTAGTTATGTATTCTAAATCCACTCAGAATAAAACTCATCACAGAGAATCGATTGCTCTCCCCGGAAAACAGACAGACAGAAGGGTGGCAATGGTGTTGGAAGTATAGATATCTCCAGGGCGAATGACACCAAAAAGATGCTCAGGAAGAGTGATGGACCAAGGGCTGTTGGAGGGACAAAGAGAAGGAAACCACTGCAGACACAGAGATATCTGGGTCACTTGAAGTACTGGACCTGAGTTGCTAAGCCAACTAGCCGATGAGAACCAACTTTTGATCATATGCTGGGTGCAGGATCCAGGGCACTGTGGTGGGGGAGATTCTAAAAAAGGAGGAGACATCATCTATGCTCTGCCTGGTGGGCAAGAAACTGCCCCTGTTGCTAAGGAGATCCTAAACTTATGGGGAAGACAATGCATGCATACAATGCACACACACACTCCCACCTTAAATAATTTAAGACAATGAAACCGCTATAAATTGAATAACTAATTGCAAC